TATCTATCTATCTATCTATCTATCTATCTATGCATCTGGAAATGAAAACAGAAACTTCCCAACATACATCTTAATTTGTGTGCTTGCCAGGGGCTCTGCTTGGCCTGGCGAAGGTCCTCATTCAGGAATAAGGGCAGTAATTCCTTGTCAGTAATGGGTAACTACTGGGATGCACAGCCCCATTCTTGTTCTTTTATACAGGAAAAGGGTGAAAAACTAGAGCTGGAAGAAACTGCATTCGAAGAAATCGAAAAAGATTTTCAAATGGTTCTCAGTGAACTTTCAGGCGACAAAAGTCTGGAAAAATTTAGAATTGAATATGAGAAGCTTCACACCGTTATGAAAAAGTCTTATGACAATGAAAAGCGTCTGATGGCCAAATGCAGAGAGCTGAATGCAGAGATTGTGGTTAATTCCGCTAAGGTCGCCACCGCCCTGAAGCTGTCTCAGGATGATCAGACCACCATCGCATCCCTGAAGAAGGTCAGTGGTCCAGTACGAACGTGAATTTAAAGCATCATTCCCTTCCATATATTTGCAGCTCTAGGCTGGTAGTAAAGTAGTTATTAGGTAAAAATTTGCATGATTTATATATTCATTGAGCTTATAGAGTAATAGTCCTTCTCAAAGAAAATAGTTAGCCTGGGTGAATTTCACCATCCAGAATATAATAGAGAACCTTACTGGCTCTGTATCTAGGGAGTAGTGGGTAAGCAAGAAAATTTAAAGATAGATAAATGCACTATGCCTTGTCTGAGGTAAGATGAGCAGTTGCACACGATAGTTTGTTAAAAATATTTTTATATTTCTACTTTTGTTCCTGCTTCAGAAGGGATTACTTTGAGAATTCCCAGACAGTAATTTTCATTTTCAACCACCTCTGTGTTTCTCCCTTGATCATCTCAATTTCTCAAAACAAAATAACCAGAGACCCTGTCTGGGAGAATATTGAGGGAATGTGTGTGACTTTGTCTCACACTATATTTTCCATCCTTAAGTGTGTTGCACATGTTCCCTGCTGTTCTCCAGGTGATGAAAGGTTGAGGCATTAATTTATAATTAGAACTCTAGTTATGAGAACTGATTTATAAACATTTTAGGCAGTTTCCTTAATATCATGCAACTAGGTGTTATCTAATTCAAATTAGCTTCAAGATCAATACAAAATATAGTTTTATCTGTGTTCTTAGAAACTACTCCGTGTATCAGTGTAATTTTTCTTGATTGTCAATTTTTTCTCCTTACTGAAAAATCAATATGTGAAGGCTTTAATTCATTTTAGAATGGGAAAATCACTCTCATTTTAGATTTAAAAATGAGAAGTTAAGCACTGATTAAAATCTAATTGTTGAAGTTTATTTGGATAAAACTATCTAATCATATTTTCATTTAAATACTCTTTTTTTTTGTCTTTTTGAGACAGGGTCTAGCTATGCAGTTCAGGCTGGCCTTGAGTTCACTTTGTAGCCCAGGCTGGTGTCGAACTCACACCAATCCTCCTGCCTCAGCCTCCCGAGTGCTGGGATTACAGGAGTGCACCATTAAATACTCTTTTATTTGTTTTGCCAATAATGACTCAAGTGGTTGCTGACATGTCATTCTGAGTCACTAAATTAGGTGCTGTAGTTACTCAAGAGTAAGCTCTCTGTCTAAAGTAATGGTGAGCATGAATTTATTAAATTAAATACTCTTGTCAGCATTTCTTTCTTATTCCTAATGAACGTAAAAGTGGGACATTTCCACTTACACCTTACAGGTTCTTGTCTGTGCAAAGGATCCGCATCACACTTGAGAAAAGTTTGCACCACAGTTACCTGCAGGATAAAATCAAGTTTGTTGTAGACACTCACTGTGCTTTGCTCCTTTACTCAAATGACTAAGTTGACTTTTAAATCTTTATGTTAACAAGCCACATTGCATTTCATAACAGTAAGGGAACCAAAGCTGCATGAATTACTGCTTCCATTCCCTGCTAAGTGTTTTGTTTCTCCCTGCAATCATTTGCTGAGAAGCCATGGGCTTGGGTTTCTGAAAATTGGGAACACCTTGCGAATTGCCAAGGTTGTTGTGTGCAGTTTGGATGCCTTTCTATGGCCTTTCTATGCTGCATCCTACACGCCAGCCAGCCACGCACTTGGATCTGAGAACAAAGTACATTTTTGTTTACAAATTTATCAAGAGATTCTATTCAGTCTATCAGATTAGGGCTTGGGTCTGTGGTCATTCCGCATGTAATAAAGCCTTTTGAAAAAGGACTGGGAAGACATAAGCTTGCTTTTTTTCTCCTCCTCCTCCCTCTTCTTTCTCTTTTCCTTTCTCTCTCTCCCTCTCTCCCTCTCTTCCTTTCTTTCTCTCTCCTTCTCTTTCTCTCTTTCTTTCTGTTTTGGTTACTTTTCTCTCATTGCTGGGACAAAATATCTGAGGCCCAAAATTAAGGAAGGAAAGGTTTATTTCGCTTACAGTTTGTGGAGATTTCAATCTGTACTTGGCAGATTATAAGGCAGAGTGGCACATGGCAAAGGCTG